CCTGGAATATAGGGCTTACTGATGACGGCTACAGCTTTTGTTCTTTAGCGTCTGGTACAGAAAGAAAGAAAATGGTGGTTTCTCCTATTCTGTTGTTTGTTTGTTTCTTCATTATAACATTAATCTCCACAAACAAGACATGTTTTTAGTTACAGATTGGCTAGGAAAAAATGCATATGCTAAACCAGATGGGTGAAATTAACAGTTTCATTAAACTGACTTTAATATCGACAAAGATGCCATGGCTTTGATTTTTAGACAATAGTTATTATCTGAACTTTACCAAATGTGTGAAATGAGTAATTTTACCTTAGAATTATTACTTTTATTAAATTCAGTAGTGCAGAAAATCGTTTAGATTCTTGGGCAGAGAAAATATCAATTGGTTATATTTTTGTGGGAGGGCGTTAAGAATTTTAATATAAAAAAAGAAATGAGCAAGCCCTTTCCATCTGCAGAGCTTTTTGGGCTCAGGATAGACTGGAGGATTCTGGGTGTGTTGCCAGCTACCTGGGCAATCCTGATGTTGATTTCTGGGCTTCTGTGCCAGGGGTCAGTGGGGCAGGTGTTTCATTTAGAGTTTCATTTCTTTTGGAGTCCTTCCCTCCTCTCAGCCCACAAAGCTGGCATCCCTGTGTACTCAAGCAAAACCCATCATCTTAGTTAGGAATTTGGCAGGGAGGTGAGGCCAGGATGAATCGTTAATGATAAAGCGGATGCCACTTTGCTGGGAATGTGCACACAGGGGCATCTGAAATAAGCACATGTTTAAAACTAAATCTATGAATAAATAGAGTAGGATCTATGTTTTCGGTGTTTCTGTGCAATTGTACTCACTGAATCCATTGTAAAGGTTCTTCTCAAGGAAACGGTCTAGTAGCATGGAGTGTTCCCCTCAACTGAGCAAAGGGAAAACCCAACAAAAGAGATTCCGAGTCCTGGTGGAAAACGATGTTACCATGCAGCCATAGCCCAGCAGGAAAACAGAAAGAAGCATCCAAGGCTGCCTATTGCTGTGTTGTTGGTTATAGCGAAATCACAAAGAAGTAACCCCAACAGTCTAAAAATACAGAACTTGGTGCAGCCATAAAATGCAGATTGGTTGGTGCTCTGTTCCTGTAGACTCTGAGTCTGTACACAACCAAACAGGAATCAGAGATATTTAGAGCAGCAGACTGAGGGTGGAGCTGTGTCTCCAGTGCTGGGTGAGTGTGATGTCCTCAGGTCAATCCCTGCACTGTAAACACACACACCCACCCACCCACCCCCCCACACACACACACAAACACACACACACACCTACCTACCTGTGATCAACATATATGGACATTTTTTCTTGTTATTAGTCCTTACAATTCATTGGAACAACCATTTCCATAGCATTTCCAATGTATTGGACACAAGGAATCTAGAGAGGATTTAGAGTCAAGGGCACAGCCTACCAACTGATTCAAAGTGTAACTGAATGGCTGTTGTCACCTACAAAATCCATGCTCTAGAACCACACAATAGAGTTGGAAAAAAAAATCACAGACAATTGTCTCATAATGTTTCGAGTAAGTTTAGATTTTTGTGTTAGGCTGAGTTCATAGCTATTCTTGGCCACATGTGGCCACAAGCTGCAGATGGGACCCACCTCATACGAAGGTGGATATACACAGGAGATGTAGGTTGGTCACATGCAAATAATCTGCTGTGGGGAACTGGGGAGAATCCTGGAGGTGGCACCTCAATTACTATCATTTATCTATTTATTTGGAGGATGTGGACATATGCAGGCAAGTGTGTGTGGATGTCTGAGGTCAACAGCGGTGTCTTTCCTTGATCACTTGCCACCTTTATTTCTTGAGACAGGCCTCTCATTGAGCCTAAAGCTTATGGATTAGGTTATGCTAGCTGGCCAATGAGCTTCAGGGATCTACCTGTCTTCCCCCACCCTAAGGCTGGATTACAGACATATGCCACAGTGTGGAGCTTTTTATGTGTGTTGTGGGGATCTGAATTCAGGTCCCCATATTTGCACAGCATACACTTTACCAACAGAGCTACCATCCTCCTCTTCCTCTGTATTATTGGAGCATTAAACAGAATGAACTTTTCTGATGGCCATAGAGAGCTATTAATAATACATGGTTAATTTAAAAGAGAAAGCTGGACTGGTGAGATGGCTTAGTGGGTAAAAGGACTTACCACTGAGCCTGAAGACCTGAGTTTGGTCCCGATTGTGGAAGGAATGAACAGACTCCTGCAAGGTGTCCTCTGACCTCCACATTCATGCTGTGGCATGTATGCAACTCTGCATATACACACAAAAATAAGTAAGTAAAGTTTAATAGAAATCTAAAACATAAAAAATGAATCTATAGTGGTATAATATGCCACTTAGGGAAAAGAAAAAATACATATGTAAATAAATGCATACATGAATTATTGTGCATGCAAAGGAAAAATCTCCAAGCATAGGTACCAAGCTTTCTAACAGCTTTTATCTTCACTGAAGACAGAGTAGGGGAGAGGAGGCTTCTGTTTTATTTAAAACCATTTGCATTGTTTGATTTGTCTTGCAAAAACAAATAGTTATGTTTCTTACATAACAAACAGTTATGTCTGTTGAGAGTAAAGCAAGCAAGCAAATAAACAAACAGAATATGGAAAAGGCACACTGCTGTTTCTGCAGTAGGATGGCTTTTCCAGCTACTGTGGTTCTGAGTGTTCGGGATCTATAGAGCCTAAGCAGAGGCAGCTGCAGCTGGAAGGCTGTCCACCTTTCAGAGGTCTTTGGATGCAAACTGTATCTGCTTTTTGGGGGGCCGCAGGGACCACCAGCAGCTTGTTAATAAGTGCATCAGCTTTCAAAATGCCAGCTCTGGATCTTTCTGATCTTGCTGGGTGTGCACGTGCACGAACTCATGTGTGCATGCATACATGTGTTTGTCTGCACACACACTTAACGCAACTTATGTGAAGATGCAAATGTGGTGTGCATGCCTGTATGTGGAGACCAGTGGGCCCAAGATTCCTAGTTGAGATGGTCTCTGTAGTTGTTTATTTTTTAACTCTTTGGGGAGCCTGCCGCCCAGCTCCCAAATAAATATACAGAGACTTATTCTTTCTTATGAATGCTCGGCCTTAGCTTAGGTTATTTCTAGCCAGATTTTCTTGAATTATCCCACCTACCTTTTGCCTCTGGGCTTTAACATTTCTCTATTTCTATATATCTTTTCTTTCCTTCTCATTTCATGTCTGACCGTGTGGCTGGGTGACTGACCCCGGCATCTTTCTCCTTTCTTTTTCTCGATCCTCCTTCTCTTTTTCTCCTTCTATTTATTCTCTCTGCCCGACAGTCCCACCTATCCTTCCTCCTGTCCAGCTATTAGCTTTTCAGCTTTTTGTTAGACCAATTGGGTATTTTAGACAAAGTAGCACAGCTGCACAGAGTTAAACAAATGCAACATAAAAGTATGCAGCACATCTTCGCATCATTAAACAAATGTTCCATAGCATGAAGGAATGTAACATATCTTCAACTAATACCACCAATTCCACTTGGCCAGCTCACCAGCAAGCCCTGGCATCTCCTGGCCCTGTCTACCCAGTACTGGAATTATAAAAAAAATGCCTCTGTGCCCTGGCTTTTTATGTGGTTGCTTGAGGTCAAACTCAGGTCTATTTGTGTTTTTGTGGCAAGTACTTTACCAACTATGCCATCCCCCCAATCCTCCTGACCCATGTTTTTAATGAACCACTGCAAGGGCATTACTCTTCTTCAGTAAATTTAATCCAAACCTCTCGGTCCCAGTTCATTCCTTACTGGTGTGCAAATAAGAGTGATTTATCCTTTGTCACCTGAACATTTTTTTAAAAACAACTTTTTTTAGTAGGATGACGAAAATAAAAATGTTGGAAGTACCAGTTTTTAGGCAGGTGAAACTTTAGTCAAGGCTGACATTTAATTTAACATTCAAGCTGACACTGTTTACATGTAACATAGGCCCTATGTTTCCTGTAAATAACATCTTTCCATCCTGTATGATCTTTTGTAGCATGGCATCCACAGTAGTGCCATGCCTGTCCTAGAAGCATTCCTTGGCCGCATTAATGAATAAAAGAGATAGATAGCAAGGGCAGACTTTAGAAGATTCTAACAGCCATGTCATGGAGCCACCACACTTGCTCAATTGTGTTGGACACCGATCAGCTTATGGACTTATGAGCGGGTTTCATGAAAGCACCAAGCATATCAAGGCAGAACAAACAATTCCCCATCCATGCTGGGAGGGCCCTGGTAAATGTAGCTGCTTGCCTGTCCACAAGGGGGTGAGTGTGAACTCTGGCTTGTGTGGCCCTTTGCCAGCCTTTGTAACTGTAGACAAGTTATTTTGCTTCTTAGGGCCTTAATCCCCTGCTGTGAAGAAGGAGGAGACTAATAACAGCAGATCCAATAGCCTCCTTTGCACAGGCTGCTTGACCCTGTACTAGGTGTCTTGTAAGCCTTCCCTAAGAGTTGACTTGTGCTTTTCATTCTATCGAGAGACCCACAAGTAAAACTGGAATCGAAAGATGATGAGGAAGCATCTCAAAATAAAATGCTCTTGTTCAGATTTTGGGAGCGGTACCAAGGAACTATTTCTGGGATAAAACACATTCTTCTTCCACATCTCAGAAGAGTCTCTCTGAAAGTTTCAGCAGCCCTGATTGGGCGGTGAATTACACGGAGTGAATTACTCTCTTGAGGCACCTTCTCAGCTCTGTGAGGCACATTCTTTCCCCCAGGATACTAGGCTGTCATTTAGTGCCAGAGGAAAAGCTTTTTACAGAGGGGCACCATAGCTTCCCCCAAAGGGTTTCATTTACTTCCCCAGAGGGTGGTATATTTCAAGGTACTGCGGGACCCACCTTGTCAATAACAGAGGTATTTAATTGGCTTTCCTTCCTTCTTCTCCAGCCACATCAGCCCTGTGGTAATTAATTCTGTGTGCTTCGAATTGTGTTATTTACAGTGCCATGGAACCAAAATGACTCTGTATTAGAAATCGGTGGGAAGATATTTGAGAAGGCTGTAAAGAGACTCTCCGGCGTTGATGGCCTCCACCAAATTAGCTCTGTCATCCCCTTTCTGATGGATTCCAGCTGCTGTGGATACCATAAAGCATCCTACTACCTCACTGTCTTCTATGAAACTGGATTAAATGGACCTCGGGATCAGATGCAGGTGGCGTATTTCATGGGTTCAGGAGCATCTGTCACCCGGGTTATGTGTGCAAAGAGATGCCCCTGCTGACACTGGATGTGTTGCAGCTCCTTGGAGTCCCCTAAAAATCTTTACACTCAAGGAAAAAAAATGTCCTTGGGTTGTGGAACTACAGGGCAACCACTTCTCAATTTCTGCATATGGCTTTCATGTTTGGTAAACCATCCCAGGATCAGTTGGAGCAGGGCTAGCTGGAATCCTGTCCTTCAGAATTAGAGACCTCTTCCCTAACAAATGCGGTCCTCCCGTTGAGGTCCTCATGTTAAGGTTGATCACATTGATGCCGTCACCCCTTATTACTTCTTAACTCAGAAAAGCCTTCAGATCTCTCAGCAAATTGTCGCCACATCTACCCCTTCTACTATCAAAATAAATGCCACAGTAGACAGTTTTACTTTGGGTCTTGAATCCAAATTGATTATGCAACGTGCCTAACATTTTGAGTCACATTTTCCTAAGCATATTAGTCAGGGTTCTCCAGAAAAACAGTACCAATGGGATTTGATATATATAGGAAGAGATTTATTCTAAACAATCAGCTCATGCAATTATGGAGCCCAAGAAGTTCCCTGCTCTGCCATCTGCAAGTGAGAGGCCAGGAAAGCTGCTGCTGGTGGGTTTCAAGTCAAAGTCAGAAGGGTCTGATGACCAGGGGAGCTGGTAGTGGAACAATCTGACCCTTAGACAGGAAAAGATCAGGGCCCCAGCTCAAGCAGGCAGGCAGGAAGCCAAAAGGGATGAACTCCTCCTTCCTCTGCCTTTGGTTCTCTTTAGGCTCTCAATGGGTAGGATGCTGCTCCCCCACCCTGGGGAGGACCATCTGCTTTACTCAGCCTCCCAATTCCAGGCCTCATTGGAAACAGCCTACCAGACTCCCTGAGAAATGATGCTGGGCCCCTGCCAGCATAGTCACATTGACAGATAACACTATCACAAGAAAACACTACATGTTCCTCTGATGACTTTTAATTTCTGATCTCTGTGTGTGATTGCTTGTCTTTGTGTGGGGGAAACACTACATGTTCCTCTGATGACTTTTAATTTCTGATCTCTGTGTGTGTGTGATTGCTTGTCTTTGTGTGGGGTTTTTTTGTTTTCTTTTTTCTTTTTTCTTTTTAAAGGTACATTAACCTTCTAGAATGACTGAGAGTATAGAGAGGGAGCAGGGCAAATGACCTTTCAGCTTTAGGGGATTTTATTACCTTATCTACAGTCTTGTGAACACTTTATCAATTTCTTCCTAACAGGGCATGCTATACAGTCTGGTTGGAGGCCAGGGTGGTGAGAGGCTGTCGTCAATGAATCTTGGGTACAAACACTACCAGGGTGTTGACAGCTATCCCCTGGACTGGGAACTGTCATATGCCTACTACAGCAACATTGCTACGAAGACACCCCTTGACCAGCACACACTGCAGGGAGACCAGGTAGGACAGAGATGCTTGGGGGTGCTAACAGCCTGGCTACCACAGTCCTGAATGCTAGTGGCTGCACCTGCATCTGGTTTATGTGTTGGCTACTGTCTGATGGAGAGCAAAGCTTTATTGCCCTATCTTCAGTTCCTATTTCCTGCCATTGTGCAGGATCCCAGGCTGACTGGAGACATGAGCCCACATGTGTGAGCTGTCCATGAGTGGGCAAACTGGTGTGTGAAGGGGAGATTGGCTCCTGAGGCAGGCTTTGGTCTGAAACGTAAGCATTTTGTCCATGTGAGATGGTGAGGTCTGGATGTTAGGAGGGAAGGAATCAAACTGAGAGGAGACTTTAATTCCCCAGCACCCCTCTCTGTGCATGATGAGCAAGGAGGGGCTACCAAGCACAGAAGCTAGCACCATCTCCAGCCAGGTCCCCGGTGCTGGATGCTTGAGAAAGATCTTCTGCACATGGACCTACCTTCTCATTCTCCCTGGTGGCTGATGCTTAAAGACAAGAGGGGCTTAGCACCAGTTCCTGCTTCGTGCAGGCTTCTCAATCTTGCTGACTCACTGGACAAAGAAATCAGTGGCTCACATCTGCCAAAAAAGCATAATGCGTTAGATTAGACTCACTGATGGCTCACTTCCGGGCTTCTTTTGAGGGCAAGGATAAAAGGCTGCTAGTGAAGGTGTCTGTGTAGGACAGCAGGAAAGCCTCCTCGATGACACAGACCCTCAGATGTGAGAGGAGACAGTGGGTTGGTCGGTCTCTGGGTCACAGAGGGCATGAGATGGTTCACACTGATAAGTGTAACTAGTTTGCTGTGGGGGTTGAAGGGGTTTTTTGTTGTTGTTCTTGTTGGTTTTGGGGTTTTGTTTTGTTTTTTTCTATAAAGGGCCAGCTGGTGAGTATTTCAAGCTTTGACTGTATAGTGGGTTTTTTTGCACCTGCTGATCTCCGCCAGAGAAATGTGGAAACATGGAAACAAATGGGGCATGTGGGTCTGTGTAGCCACAGACAGTATGAAGCCCCATGGCAGGATCTATGCCATGAACTTCACCTTTCCTGCCTGCTGAGCAGGCCTGTCTGAGGGACAAGCCCAGCTAGGTCACAATTGTTGAATCGCAAGCTCAGTGACTAACTGGGAACCAAAATGCCCTTGGATTGAGTCAGAAGCCCACAGAGCAGAAAAGTAGCATTTGATACTTGGAAATAGATGGTTTCTGGGAAAAAAAGAAAAGAAAAGAAAAGAAAACTACAGTGGCCACTTCACTATTGTGAAATCAACAGCTCAGAGAGACAAGCCTTCAAAGAATGTTAAACATGACAGAGTGGGCTAATGTGTAGCTCAGTTGGTAGGCCACTTGTCTAGCATGCCCAAGGTTCGATTCCTAGCACCACAGGAAACCAGGTGTAGGGGCATGTGCTAGCAATCTCAGTACCAAAGAGGAGGAGGCAGGAGGAGCAGGAATTCAAGATCATCCTTGACTATACAGCAAGTTCAAGACCAGGCTGGGATTTGTGAGGCCCTGTCCCAAGAAGGGAGGGGGAGTAGAAGAGGAAGAGGGGAAGAAGAGAGGGGAAGAGGAGGAGAAGAAGAGAAAAGGGGGTGGAGGAAGAAGAGAGGGGAGGGAGGGGGGAGGAGGAGGAGGAAAAGGCCAGAAGTTATAAAAACCCAAAAGTCTGTCTCTATAGAGACATTCTAATCCCTTTTGACAATATTGGTTCTCTTCAAATAAACCCACACAGCACTTGTCACTTATAGCTGACTACTCTCTGTGTATAAAAGTGATATGCAAAATTTGACCTCAGCTAGACAGCAATTAATTGATGTTTTTGTTAAAAAAAAAAAACATTGCTGTGCAAAAAACACTTTTACAAAATTAAATTGCAAAATAAGGCTGCCTTTACCTTTCCACCAAGCCCAAACATGTTCATAACATCCTGCATGTATAGATCACACACTTAAGGGTTCAAATTCAGCATCAATTAGCAGTGGGAAGCGGCACGTTGCTGACAAGCTCCTTTTCTTTTGAAGATTTGGCATGTGAAATGTTGTGATTAGGAATGAAAATGTTTAATTGGTCAGAACCGGAGGAGATGAACAGAAAAGATGTGTCTCACAGCTGAAAGGCCGTATGATTAGGCAGCGTGGATAGGAATTATACACTTAGAGGAGTTGTGTCATCGCTCATTTTCTTAAGAACTCATAATTAATGGCTTCTTGAGGATTGAAGCAGGTGTCATGCGTTCATTTAAATGTCCTTTTGTTGAGGTATCTATTAACTCACCAGCATAATGTAGCAAACAAAGAGCTCTTGAAAGCCAGACCTCTAATTAACAAACGAAGGGTCTGTCAATAGCGCCTTTCTTCGTTCTCTTTGCATCTTTGCTTCCGTGATTTCCATCATTCTATCTTCTTTATCAGGATTCTCACTCTGCTCCCCACTGGTGACTAAGTGGGACTTTGCTGCAGGTGAAACAGGAAGCCACAGCTAGCTTTCCCTCTGTTCTGTGGCTTAAATTGCAAATGAGTTTCATTCCTTCAGCCCAGGCCTTAGAAGTTTCCCTTCCTCCCTCCCTCCCTTCCTCCCTCCCTCTGAATCTCCCTCCCTCCCTCCCTCTCTCTCCCTCCCTCTCGCGCTCTCTCTCTCTCTCTCTCTCTCTCTCTCTCTCACATCACAATGCAACTTTCCTTTATCTGTGGCTTCTGGCAGCAGGGAGGGCTTTACTCACATCCCTGGCCACAGCCACCTTGCATATTGATACTACTCAACCGTTATTTTCACCTAACATCTTTCTTCCTTTTCATTTATGTCACAAAAGAAGCTGGCCATCCACAGCTCCCTTCCTCTATGTTAACACCTCACCAGAAGATACCAATGGCTACCCTAAGACATGGGGCTGGCCTTTGACCCCTCATCCTATCTAATAACCACAGCGTTTCTCTCTTCCCCATCTTTATCACTGCCACCACTGCCTAATGTGGTCCTTGTTTATCTATCCCCTGAGCTGCTGCAACAACTTCTGTTAGGGGCAAAATTGTGTTTCCCCCCTAATTAAAATGTTGATGTCCCAAGCTCAGTACCCCTGTATGAGATGGCACATAGACTGAAGGTAATATAAGTGTGTGTATTGCTTTTTACCCTCTGCCCGAGAGGCCACACTCTCAGCTGCAACCAAGCAGAGATTGAAAATATTCCAAAAAAGCAAGGTGTCTGTCCCAATGTGTATTGACTTCTTATCTTTTCGGAATCCCTAAGAAATACAGCATAATAGCCATGTGTATGCTATTTAAATTATGTTAAGTATTATCAGTAATCTAGCTGTGATTTAGAGCATGGGGCTGGAGCTGTGGGACAGCGGTTGCGTGCATTTGAAGCATGCTTGAGGTTCTGGGTTCCCAATTACCACACCACATTACATAAGAGACAAGAATCGGGAGTTGCATTGTTTATAGGGGTCTTGGAACCAATCCTCCGGGGATGCTGAGGTATGTGTGTGTGTGCATGTGTGTGCTTTTGTTTATTTGTATATGAATGGGTGTGTTCATTCATGCACAATGCACATATGTGTGTGTAGTGTTCTATGTGTTCATTTATGTATATATGAATGTATATGAGTGTGCATGTATACACATGTGTGTAGTGTGTGTGTGCATGCCTGTGTATATTAGAAGCTCCTGTCATCCTTATAATGTGTTGTCAGGGGTAAAAACAGGTCATAGCAGGGCATACAAGGGCATTTCTTGTCTGTACTCCCTCCCTCTACCCATCCTAACCCTTGGCAATCCTGCCTTGGCCTGCTAACTTAGGCACCACCATATTTTGTTACAGCACACTGTTCACACTCCTGGCCCTGTCTAGTCTCTTTGCTCTCTCCTCCCCACAATTTCCTTGGGAACTTTCCTACTGTTCCATGTGCTCAGTGGCAACCTCCTTTGGGGCCTTGCTGGAGCTCCCAAATAGCACCCAGGCACATCTCTGTCATTGCCAGACTGAGCTTCCAGGACAAGGACCCTGGCATCATCCAGCAGTGAGCATCTGTGGAATCTTGCTTTCCTTTCTCTCAGTATACTGCAGTAGTCAATACTTTCCCATTGTCGCTTTAAAACCAAACATTAACTTTCAGCTAAGAGCCACCCCTTCCAAACTGGGAGACAGCAGTACAACTGGCTAGAACTAAGCAATGGCTAGCAGGTGTGAGCATTGGCTAGGATGCTGGACCAGCCTCTCACCAGCTCCTCCTTGCCTCTCTGGGACTGCCTGAGCAGCAGCCCACGAGTCCTCAGAAGGCTGCATTTCTAGAAAATGTCCAGCTGCAGCCCAGCCACCTGTCCCATCCTGTCTCCTATCTTGCCCTACCTTCCTCCTCCTGCTCTCTTTCTCCCTTCCTTTCTGTTTCCTCTCATGTTCTGCCCTCCCTTTCTCTTATTCACTCCCCCACTACCTTCCTTTCTTTGCTTTTTCTTCTCATCTCTTCTCTATCCTTGCTTATTTTCTTCTCTCCTTCCTCTTCTTTCTTTCTGCCTGTCGGTCTCTCTGTCTCCCCCCACCCCGGCCAGCTCTCCCCTCTCTGGCCTTTCCTGAAACCAGTGATCAGCACCCTTGGCAGCCTGCGGGCTTGGCAAAGGGAAAGAAGGTGAAGCTTCTCCCGGACAATGTGGCGCCTTTCTCTGGCACTTGGTCCAGAGGTCTGGGGGTGGCAGTTTCCAGACAGTGGTCCTCCTGGAACTTGGCAGCAGGCTCTAACCCTGTGATATAAGATATGAACTTTTGGGCTACTCATTCTGGTGACACTGATTTATGAAAAAAGCAGCTAAAAACCCTCTGGAAACCTTGGGATTTCTCAGAATGTCTAGCATCCCTGACCCCAAATACCTGTCTCACCCCACCAAGAGCATGAAGCTCTCAGGCAGAACTGCCTCATGTGTCTAGTCTTTGTCTTTCAAGTCTCATGACAAGGAGAAAAAGAAACACAAAAATCAAAACACTGGAATTCCACAGGTGAACATAAAACTGAGAATTCTTCTTCTGCCCAACCCCAGGCTCACTGAAAACAAGTATCTCTGCAGTGTCAACTGAGGCCTCACCAACCCTGCTGTGGACATAAGGAGTCCATCGCTTGGCCAGACTGTCTCTCTCCCAACTGAGACTGCAGGGTCTTCCCACTAGAGGGTGACATCACGAGGGTGGAGGATCTCTTTCAGGGTAGAGCCATGTTTTCACTTTAGGAGCCTCCATTTGTTACTTTGTCTGGAGGTAGGCTGGGGATTTGAGCTTTGTTGTGAGGAATCAGTTAGACACCCTGCCCCCAAAGCAGATTTCAATAAAAGGAAGAGGCTGTCATTATTGTTTCCCTGTTGAACTTGGCAGGGATGGGTTGACCTGGGTCCTGAAGCTTGCAGGACTCCTCAGTCACTTAATGCTCCTGAAAGGGACCCTGGACCCCACACAGACCCAGCGGAGGCAGCTGAGCGACATTCTAAGCATTGAAGCTACAGATACAGACCAGAAACTGTGACTGAATAATTTTCTTAACAAACGAGGGCAGTCAGAAGGGAAATCAGGCCTGGCTCCTCATTCTCAGAGGCTTCTCTCCCAATTTCTCACACCTGCCTATGGCATGGGTGGCTTGTTCTAAGGCCCCCCTCGTGGCATGCTACGCAGACTCCATCATGCATGAGAGCAGTCCACAAAACAATGAGAGTCGGTTTGGCCAAAATGGAGACACTGAGATGGATCTTATCTTCTTCAAAGAAGCCAAACAGCTGACAGGCTGTGTGCAAATTCAAATGACCCTGTGAACTTTCCCTCTGGGTTCATCTGTAGAGCATATGGAACATCCCACCTCAAATTCTTAGAGTTTGCTTCTTTTCAAGGTAGATTTCTAAATTTGAGGGTATAGGAGGAGATAACTGAAGCTGTGAAATAAACATGTCTAGTTATGTTAGATAATGATGCTTCAGTAAAAATTAAAGTCATACTTAGAATTTTTTTTTTTTTGGTGCTGTTGGGAATGGGAACACTGAAGTGGAAGTAGAGAAAAGAGACCCTGGCTTCCCCAAATACTTTGATAGGAACAAATAACAATGCAGACATGCAGGACGTGGTACATTCATTTAAAAGTAATTCGCTCCCGTGACCATGTAGTCACACCTAAGACTTAAATTATTCATATGGGTTTCGCTTGAACAATTGCTGGTTTGAAAATATTATGTCTGTGCATGCTCATGGCATTTGGGTGTTTACCTCCTCTCTTCCCCTCCTCCCCTTTTCCTTCACTTCCTTTCTTTTCAGGCCTATGTTGAAACCATTAGACTCAAAGATGATGAAACACTCAAAGTCCAAACCAAAGAAGATGGAGATGTCTTTATGTGGCTGAAGCACGAAGCCACCCGCGGCAACGCGGCAGCACAGGTATGCAGAGGCCCATCTTAGAGAGTCTGTCAGTCATCTCAGATGAGGGTTTGCTTCAGTAACAAAGCTTCCCCATCCCCAGTGGCTGAAAGCGATGCTGCCATATCCTCTGCTTGCAGTTATGTCTGATGGAGCTCTTTCAGCCTAGAAGCCCAGATGCATTGACGAGGCTTCTCCACATACTTCCAACATCATTGTCCAGGCCACAACCATGGCACATCTGAGCCTAGCAGGCAACACTTCTGCTCATAAGGGGCCCAAGTCTCAGAGCATACCTCAAGTTCAAGAGGCTTGGGTGTAGTCCTCCATCCAGCTAGAAAGAGAATATAGTGCAATATATCCCCTTAAAGACTCCTGTTGGTACGTGCCTCATATAGCAAGCAAGGAGCTCCTTGGGTGTGGGAAAAACTAGACAGCCATGTGTTCAGCCACGAGAACAATAACTGTTTACAGAGTGTCAAGCCAGAAGGCTTGACCTTGTCTCTTGAATATCTTACATCTTTGAGTTTTCAGAGTCTGATTTGCAGCTGATGAAAAGCTAGAAGCTTGCTGAGGCTAACTTCACCAGAAGCCTTTTTCCCAAAGGAGGGCTTTAGCATTTGATGAGTGCTCCTAGGGAGCACAACAGTCTGGGGAGGAGGCTCCAGCACCTCTGAGTGGCAGGAGAGCATAGATAGGAAAGGGACAAGAGTCAGAGGCACTGACAAATCGTCCCATGCAGGGCACAAGTCTCCTGGTGCCCCCTAGAGATCTTCCTGGCACTTTCCTTGATACTTTCTTTGTGGACATTGAAGACATGAGTGTGGGAGCAGAAAGAAGACAATAAGGGACCCACACAAAGGGGGTCCCTGTCCTCATTCTTGGGTTTGTAACCCTGGCCTGCTGTCCTTCCAGTCAGGAGTAGTGTAGTTCTAGAAGTGCCTTTTCTTGCGGGGCTCCAGAGCTCACATTAATCTTCTAAGAGTGGACACTTACTTCTCCCCTAAGAAAATCTATATGCACAAGCTTCTGGAAACTTCTGAGAGGGCTAGGTAAACCGTGTGTGTGTGTGTGTGTGTGTGTGTGTGTGTGTGTGTGTGTTGGACCAGAGTTGGCTGGAACATGATGAAACTTGCCTAGTAATCACAGAACCTGGTCAGCAGAATTCCTCCTTGCTCTTCAAGCACTCCCTCCTGTAGGAGGTACTGCTTGTCCATTTGATCAGCAGTCAGTAAGGAGGTCTGTCTTGGGACCTTTCTCAGATGCACGGATCTCCTACCCACACTGCTGTCTCTGTGTTTGGATCCATTTTGAGACTAAGGGTAGGAGCTGTCAGGAGGCAAGAACACACAAATGTGTTGTAGCTTGTATTTATGCAAATGTACCTTCAAGCTCCTCCCCCTGCCCCTGTTTGAAAATAGTGTGTTTAATTCTGTATTCTCCACGTAAAAAGTGTTATGTTATTATTGGTACTTATTAATTATTATATAATATGGGTTTCATTATATTTTCATACATGTACATAATGTATTTCAATTTTATTCACTCCTCCATCCTCCCTTTAATCCCTTTCCTCTTCCTAACTAGTCCCCTTCTACTTTTGTAAGCCTGAGAGGGAAAGAAAGGGAGGGGAGGACGGATGGGGAGGGAGCACTCAGTGAGTCTCATGAGGATAATTTTCAGAAGCATGTGCAGTTAACGTAGGGAAGAGTGGGGACCCACGGACCCCTCTCCCTTCCATGATGGATGTTTAGAGGCCCATTCTTACAGAGATCCTGTGCAGGTAATAATTGCTGTGAATTCAGGAGTGACAGGTGTCGTGGGAGTGCTGCAGCAGCAGCTCTGCAGTTAAAGGCACTCACCGCTCTTGCAGAGAGCACAGGTTCAGTTCCCAGTACTCACATGGTGAAGCTTGAAACTGCCTGTAATTCCAGTTCCAGAGGATCTGATGCCCTCTTCTGGTCACCAGGGGCACCTGCATGCATTTGGTGCACCCAGGCTTTATTGGGTACACACACACACATACCCATAAAAAACAATAAATAAAACTTTTAAAAAATGAAGGGGCCTGGTAAGATGGCTCACTTGATACCTAGTTTATCTGAATTTAATCTCTGGGACCCTCATGGTGGAAGGAAAGAGGCAACTCCACAAGTTGTCGTCAGACCTATGAGAACATGCATTTGCACGTGCACACACACACACACACACACACACACACACACGCACACACACACACACACCTATGACATGCCTGGATGTCAGCATTCTACACCTTCCCCACTGCTTCCTCTGGCTCTTGCATTTTTTCTGCCCCTTCTTCTAAAACATTCCCTGAGCCTTCGAGGGGTGATAGAGATGTCCCTTTTGTGGCTAGCCATTCAACTGAGAACATTTTACATTAGGTTTGTCCACCCACTCCCTCAAGTGTCATGTGAAACATTACCCAGGAAACTCACTGTTCCAAATCGCTATTGTCTTTAAGCAACGATTGGCCCAGATGCTGTTCTGGGGGCAACAAGGGGTGGCCAAGAACCCTGAGGCAGCCATCGAGTGGTATGCTAAGGGGGCCCTGGAGACCGAGGACCCTGCACTGATATATGACTATGCCATCGTGTTATTCAAGGTGAGAGCCACTTAATTTGTGCTAAAATTGTTCCATTCTGATAATAGACATCCTGAGACATTTCCCGTGGGCGTGCAGGCAAACAGGGAGTCTTAGAACAAGCTGCTGTCACCTGTGACGGAGAGGGACACTGCTGAAAAGGAAGAGACAGAAGCACTTCCCTGGGCGCATTTTTAATTGACAATCTTACACTTGACACCTGGCTTCTCTATACTTCTGTGACATTCTGAAGGAGACACCCATATTTCGGGGCTTGGTGCATGGCCTCCAGCCCCATCGGGGCTGCATGTTTGTCGCTGGCTCAATAGAGCATGTGTTTGGGCCACATCCCAATGATTCCAATGATGTGGGGGAAATGAACCTGGTTGCCATCTAAGGAGGAAGGGCAGGGAAGAGTCCAGGAGACTGAGGGCAGGTATTAGAGTCCCACTTCTGTACCCATTGTGGATACCTTTGAAGATGTTTATGTACTGGGATGATCATGGGCTGAATGAATCAGTAAGACCAGCACGCTTTGAAAACTGTGCCACACATGTGCCTTTCACAGGAAAATCATTCTTCCTACCGATGAATGAAACACTTGCTCCCTGCTTCAATAAACCAGCACATTGAATCCTCACAGCCGAGGAGCTGGTATAGGTCATTTTAGTCTCTTATACAGAGCAACAGAAACACAGGGAGGTTTTGTAACTGACCCATGATTGCACCTGGGGAAGGGATCCAGGCAGACTGGCTTTGTGATCTGTGTGGTCTGCATGCCCAAATGCATCAGATGTATAAAATCATTACTCTCAGAAAAGTCTTCCATCCAAGTACAAATCAGACCTGACCCCACTTAGCTTCCGAAATCAGACTAGAACAGGTGCACTCAGGGTGGTATGGCTGCAGACCTAAGCTTGGAAATGGAGATACTTTGGCTTTCGTAAGGAAATCCTTGGACCTTATGCCCATGCCTCAAAATGAATTTTGTCAAATAACCACATGTCACCTGTGTGCCTGGCTCGGTCTGTCTCCAGATCCACAGATGTGGCCACAAACTCCCTGACAACCATGATGTCGCTACAGCTCAATCCTCTAAACCCTGTCGAGGCCTGGAAACCTAATGGTTGTTATGGTTTCCAAATTGAGGCCTAGACCTTCTCTTTCCAGGCACCAAATCAACCGAAATTATTTGAATCTCCTCCATATGCCAGCGTGTTTATCTAATACACATCCACTCTGGCTGGCCACGTGCCATCCTCTGCAGTCAGTGCAGGGACATATGGAGGCGGGAGCCACATCCCTGGCCTCAGAGGGCTCATACACTGGAAGGGAAGACAGAGAAAAGAAATGATGTAGCAATGAGACACCTGTCTACCAGAGTTGGGGCTGGACACCGTGCAAAGTCCAGAGAAGAAGGAGGTATGAGTCAGACACTTTTTCTGCTCACCAGGGATGACGGATGTAGAGTGGGATGCACATATAGGCATCTGTGACTGTGGATCTCGTTTCCCGGGTTTTAAAGCTGTTTTTGTTTTGCCAGTGCTATTGAATTCTGGCTAAGTTATCTCTGGGTATGATGCAGGAAGCCTTTATCAGCTTCTCAGGGAAGAGCATTGCTTCTGACCAGGTGCTCTTTTTAAGTATAGTAGTCCACAGAGACAGGCTCCCATGGGAATGGGCATTCTGGGTGTAAAGGCAATGGTGTGCATTGGCAGTGTAGGGCACCCAAGAGATCACATACAAAGATGACACCAGAGTCAGGGCTTGTCCAAGGCAGTCAAGTGTATCACTTTTTTTTTTCCCGATACAAATGCAAAGAATCTTTTATTGTAGGTGTTTAAGGAGCTAACTCCATTAGCTCGGGCCCTTCATCCATTCAGCATGTGGATGGTTGGAGAAAGACCAGGTGTATCACATCTTGCATCCTCTGACCACGAAGCTTTGACTGACTCGGTGTTGTCTTCTGTCACTGCATTCACAGGCTGTTCAGCAAGCACTCACTCTGCCCGTGTTTGGCACTGGTCTCTTTTTAAGAACTTCCGGTACTGCTCGGATTAACATGTGAGGCAGGCCTTGTGCAAGAAGTTACATCATGAAGCAGACAAGAATACTAGATTAAATAGCTAGGAGACTGGAAACATTTCTACCCTGGAAACTGGAATATCTGGGCTCAGGAATTCTGTGAGCCTTTGCATAAATTAATCTCCCCAGTCCTGGTTCATTCCTTCAAAACAAAGAACTGAGGACGATGAACCTTGCAGTCTACTAGGTCTGGATGTTCCATTATTCCACAGTTCCTCAGGCAATCCAAACGTTATCTTGTTCCCTATCTAATTCTAATTGTCCTTCTGTGTTCTCATCCTTTTCCTAATTAAGTGACATATTGGTGTTTGTCTTAGTTTCTGATGCTGTGATAAACACAATGACCAAAAGCAAGTTGGGAAGGAAAGGGTTTATTTGGCTTACATCTCCATATTGTTGTTCATCATTGGAGGAAGCCAGGACAGGAAATCAAACAAGGCAGGAAGCTAGAGGCAGGAGCTGATACAGAAGCCATTGAGCGATGCTGTATGCTGGTTTGCTCAGCCTGCTTTCTTCTAGAACCCAGGTTCTAGAACTAGCCTAAGGGGCCCTCCCTCATTAATTAAGAAAATGCCTTACAAGCTTGCCTACAGCCCAATCTTATAGAGGTATTTTCTTGATTGAGGTTCCTTCCTCCCAGATGACTTTAGCTTGTGTCAAATTGACATAAAACTAGCCAGCACAGCCATACTTCTGAAAAAAAATTTTTTTTTCATCCTACCTTTTGCTTCGGTTTTACCAAATAGGTAAGTTAAGGTCCAGTAGAAACATGAGTAGAATTTAACCTTTAGTTTGATTCTTATTTTTACTGGATATCCTGAAAAATATTGAGCTAAGCTTACCCTTTGTCTTTTCCATATCACGATGGAAGGTAAGCACCATTATACTTTCTTGGAATAGAACCAAAATACACAGTAGATGGTATAGTGTGGTGGTCAGAGGCTTAGTCTAGTACCTTGTATTCAAATCCTGTCTTGTGTTCTCACATATCATGCAGTTCTGATAAGGCTAAGGTGGATGGCATTGTCAGTGACTTCCCCCTTAGGGTTGCTGTGATGGTTAGATGGTTAGATGTGGTGATGGGGGTGGGTCCATGATCACGTGTTATTATTATCACCACCTCCAGTTCTTAAAGAGCAAATCAACCACAGCAGATAGCTGTATTCATGCAAAGAAAGCCCTTTCTGTAGTCATATCATGTGACCCTATGAGGGTTGTCTGAGTTAAGAAGGATCCCCTGAGGCACTGGGAGAGTGGAAGGGACCCATGATTATGAATAAATTTGGAGCATCAGGGATTTTCAGCTGGCTCAGCTCCTATCATCAGACTTGGTCAAGACCACAGGGACCCCTTTTCTCCACACTCTTGGACCCACCATCTCCCCACATAGACCTTTAGACCCCTTAGAAAGGTCCCTTTTGCAACAAGAACTCCAGAGTCCATCTCTATATATAGAGGCCAAGCACTTCTTCTGGAGATCTCCCATTTGCTAGAAAGAAACTTGTTAGCATCCAGGTGACTGATTTCTCAGGGCCCTGTCTCCTTTTCGGCACACTCTCAAGCTGATTCAGAAGCCACAGTGTCATACCCTGGGGACCTGAGCCAGTAACTCTTAACTGTTGTTCAACACAGATAACATGTTTTATCTGGGTGTCAAATTAGATAATTCCAGAGGAAAGCACCCTGAATTCGCAAACCCATCCACCCTTCCTTACAGCTGCTCCCCCAGCACCTCTGGAGTGATGGGAACAGTTCACACCATGATCATTTCAAGGTTGGGGAGGTTCCTATTGCTGATGAGCTGGGAGGGTGGGGCTTGTTTCACTCCCCACAAACATGAACAAGATGATGATGGTGGTGGTGGTGGTGGATAATGATGACAGCAACAGTGATATCCTTCAATACTGCTGTGCCTAAAAGGCTTAAGCTTGTGGTTTCTGGGTTTTGTTTTGTTTTTAATTTAAAGGTTCGGGGTTTATTTGCAAGCGTTTTATATTGAACACTGGTGTCTCTGTGTGGTGCTTGTGAGGATTTGGGGTTTATTTTCCTCATAATCTTTACTGTTTGTCAATGTTTAGGGTCAAGGAGTTAAAAAGAACAGACGGCTTGCCTTAGAGCTCATGAAGAAAGCGGCTTCCAAGGTAACCCATGCATATTGTTGGGAGGAAACAGCTCCTCACACGCCCACGCTCTCAGAAGGCTGCACAAGTAAATGGCCAGCTTTCTTTCACAAAGAAGAGGTGGAAGTGAGGTGGGGAGGGGTCCCCCTGTGCAGCGACTAGTCATTTTGAAGTTATAACACACACATAATCTTGCCACAATGAGGACAGTACCATTCAAAGGCTGAATACACCTCACCGCCAATAGAATCTGGACTGATTTTGTTTGAAGGTAAAATTATAATCACGAGCTGCCCTGATAACAAGCAGTGGGGCTCCTTGAAATTGAATGAGGAGAAAGGCCATTGAATTACGAAAACCAAAGCCTAATTTCCTGCAAAGTTAACCCTGTTCTGACCAATTCCCATTTGCTTCTTACACTTTGATAATGGGCTGTTTATAAAGATCATCAACAAGGTCAGAGCCTTATGAATTACTTTGCCTTTGCCATTATTTATAGTTCAATAGTATCTTCAGGCAGCTGGTTTCAATAGAACCCTGCAGACTGGAGGCCATAACAGCACTTGAAAGAAGACACACACAGGTGCACACTTGCACACATATGCCTGAATACTTCTAGTCCAAATACATGCACACTGGTCCTCACACACTCCCCATGCACCTGTGTATAGATATGCATGTGAATCGATTTCCCAGAAGCCACTCTGATTCTGTACCTCGACATGGCCGATCCTTTGTTCTCAAGGCTTCTAAAAGTAACCATCCTAGTTTTTCTCCCCCACTCTTTGTCTTGGGGAGCTCAGGAGCTCTTGGGAAGCTTCCATAGAGCAGGAAGTTGAAGCAGGGAGTCAGAAATTCAGAAGGCTTTTCTACCTATGCACATGACCCTGCTTATTATGTGCGTACCTGCTATTGACCTAACACAAGAGATGCACAGAAATAGTAAAGCAGCGCAATGATGTTCATCGAGGGTACTGAGTCCAGGCATCCTCAAGTGGGGCTGTGTGAGGGTTGCCCAAGCAAGAGTGAAATTTGCATCTCTTCAGCACCCCTAGTGGTGAGTTCACATTCAGCTTGCTTTATTTCAGATTATAAAATCTCTGTTCTTATTTTAATTAATTTTTAATTTAAATTAAAACCAATCTTATTTTACATACCAATCCCAGTTCCCTCTCCCTCCTGTCCTCCCACTCCCCCCACTGTCTTCCCATCCCACCCCCCATCCACTCTTCAGAGGGTGATCTGGCTGCCACATCTGCCACCCCTTGATCGCCAGGGTTGATTGGCAGATCTGGCTGGCTAGGCGGGAGTCCCCTTCCTCCCTCACCAATCCATGTGTCCCTCCCGAAGCTGAATGCTTGGTGGAATAGGACAACCTTCCCCAAATAGAGGAGGACCGGTCTTCGGTCAAGGGTATACTAGTAGCTACACTCCCCTGCTAGAACCTCCAAACAAGCTCTCAAAGTTTCTGTTCTTAGGGGCTGTGAGATTCATTCTTTAAATTAGCATGGACTCACTCAGGGCCTAGTGTTCGGCAGGGGAACACTAGGGGAAAGTTGCTTACAACTCCATTTTTTGAATTAGGAGACACACAGAGGCAGATCTGTTGATCCAGCTAAATAGATGTCCAGAGCAAGGACTGAGTACTAAGTAATATGACAGGATTTCTTGCAGGTTCATGAACGGAAGCCAGAGCAATTCCCAGAGAAGCACTAGCTTCCAGCTTGTGGCAGGTGCATCTGAATTAGGCTGTGTTTTCTCCAACTGAGCAGTGGGAAGCCACTTGGATGTTTCCTGAGTGTGGGCAGGTCCCCAAAATTTTGCTGCCATTTTAGAGGATGCCTCAGTCTATTACTTCTTTAGACAGAGTTTTCAGTACTTACAGGGAATTTGCATACGCCTGTCAATATCATGGTGCTGACTATGCCCAAGTGGTACTGTTAGTCTGGATATCTTGTTGGCCTGTAGGGAACTCTCCACCTTAAGAGTGTAGGGTTTTGTTTTGCACCTGTATTCATAGTGTAGCTTTCATTCATCCTTCTGACACTTGTTTAAAGTGTCTACCCTGTGCTGGAGATAAAAACAAGGTGCCAGATCCTCCCTGATGAAAGGGGAGGCTAAAACAATATGCTTCCACAGTAAGACTCTGTCCTTACAAGTCCATAGACACAGGGCACTGTTGGTCCCTCAAATGCTTTGTTTGGTTTGGTTTGGTTTGGTTTTCCTGGTCTTCGGGTCAGGCAAGAACTGAGAAGTGAGAACTCACTGTGCACACATGTGTGCTATGGCAGGGCAGGAGGCTCTTTCAGTCTTATTGCTGCCCTGCAAGACACCCGAGCCGTCATCATCTGAAAATCTGTGGGAGTGGGAAAGAGTCCCTGACAAAATGCACTCAGGATAGACTGACATTAACAGCCCCATTCCCTGGAGCTGACATTACCAGCTCTGTTTTGAACCCCCACCTCCACCCTTGACATCCTTGTCTGCTGCTCTAGTCCCTGTCAGACCCTGAATCCCATCAGAACTGGGGATGCCAACTCATCTCAAAGCACCGAAGCTATGCAAGTGGATTGTCACAGTTGCTGCCCTTGGAGGCTTGTTGGTGTGTAGGGCAGAGGAATCAACAGATGGGCAGGCGGGTCACCTAGAAACCATCCCAGCCAGGGAGTGTTTCAATCTCAAACATCCTGCTGCAGCCCAGTTCTCATGAATTTGAAGGGCATGCTGGATCCTGCTGGGTAAAGAGAGGCATTTGTGGGGGTGTTATGTAAGAGCCCATAGGCATTGAGAGATGATTTGGGGACCAGCGTCACTATTGAGGCTGCAAGGCAGAAAACCCAGCAGCAGCCGGGCAGAATCCACCTGGGAAGTCTCTTAGGCAGGCTCGTGCTGTCTAGCAGTTAGCTTTTCTTTAGTGCCATCTGCCCCCTTGAAAAAGAGAAAGGGAAGACTCTGGAAGAATGCCGCCACAGCAACTGCTTCCAGATGCTTTAGATTTCATTAAAATAATAATAATAATTTCTCTCTTGTTCTAAAATTCAGGGATTGCATCAGGCGGTCAATGGCCTGGGATGGTATTACCACAAATTCAGGAAAAACTATGCTAAAGCAGCGAAGTACTGGTTAAAAGCAGAAGAAATGGGGAATCCAGATGCATCCTACAATCTTGGGGTCCTGTATTTAGATGGCATTTTCCCAGGAGTTCCTGGAAGGAATCTGGTGAGTGAACCTGAGATGCCTCTACACTTGACCAATGGCTGGCTGTGAATGCTTGTGGAAGGTATGTCAAGTGTCCATCCTAAATGAGGCATGGTGGGATGGGAGGGATGTAATAATACAACCCAAGGGCCTGCCCTCCAGGAGCTCAGGGTCTAGTGAGGAAGGCATGATGGTCTTGAGGAAAAGATGCATTTAGCCACATGGGAGATTATCCAGGTACTTCAAGGGAGAAGAACCAAGGTAGGCCAGAGCAGCCATGAAGACTTTGTGGAAGAGGAAGGCTTGAGTAGAGGAGGGAAAAGGAGGTTATCCACCATGGGAGAACAAGAGATGATTCAGGGAGACTGACCTTCTAAGGAACAAAAAGGGCCAAGTGCAAGAAGAGTTGCCAGAGATGAGACCAAAGTTACAAAGCAAAGAGCAGAGGCCATGTTTGGTGTTTAATGGGCACTTCCCCAAATGCCAAGCACTTCAGAAGTTGGCAGATTCATGTATGCTAGCCTCTGAAACATCATCTATGTCTGTGCCCATCTTCTAGAATGGGCTTCCAGATCTCCAAACAAGAGGTTTGGAGAGAATAAGGCCACACAGATTGACAGACGGTAAGCTGAGATTCGATCCCAAGCCCCTCTTGCTCATAAAGCCCATGCTTTTTAAAAACAGTGGTTCACCACCTTCTGAGAAATACTGACGATCCAGAGAGACACCCCACACACACACACACACACACACACACACACACACACACACACACCCTAAGTGTTTGTTTTCTTTTTCCCTCCACCTCTCCCCGACTGCACTAAAGCTGATATTTTTATGCATTGCAAATGTCTGGTAGCCCTCCCACACATCTGCGAGCAAGGATTTATTCCTTGTCAGATTCTAATTCTCACTTTCCCGCTAGAAGTGCAATTTTTGTGCATGAGCGTAAAGGAGGGTATTAAGTGAGGTTAGGAAAGCAAATGCTTGAGTTCTCACTCGGTGTGACTCCTGTCCCGTTCCTCCATCAAGCGTGCAGAGGTTTAGTGAGGACCCAAGGAGGTGGCAGCGCCATCCTGGTTACAAGGTGTCTTCTTTATTGTGTAAAGTTAATCAACAGAATAGTTCTCCGTGGGGTCGCATATCCTAAGCCTTTGGAATGGACTGTCTATTTGTAGCTAATTCTTGACCTGTTTTGCTCTTAAGTATCAGGAGACATATAAGCCTGTGATAATGCTGGGCTTGAAGTACCTGAGACTTTGGCTGTGTGGCCAGGGGGGACTCTGCACTAATGAGAGGGGCTCTTGTTCATATCGTTACAGACGCTGGCTGGTGAATACTTCCACAAGGCTGCACAAGGAGGACACATCGAAGGGACGCTGTGGTGTTCTCTTTACTATATCACGGGCAACCTGGAGACCTTCCCTAGAGATCCGGAGAAAGCTGTTGTGTAAGAATCTGTCCAATGTCACCTACCATTGAAAAGCCATGTCCTGTACTCACCTGGCCTGACAAAAGGGATATCTTTCTTTCCCTCCTTCCCTCACTTCCTCCCTTCTCCCCCCCTACCATCTCTCACGCCAATCCTTTTCTCATTTCCTTCCCCTTTCTGTTTGTTTCTTTATCTCTCTTTGCACTTTTTTAAAATTCAGGGTTTTTTCCCATTTTTTTAAAATTATTTTTAATTACTCATATTTACATATCCATCCCCCATTCCCTCGCCCTCCCCTGCTCCCATGTTCCCCACCCAACCCACACCAACCCATCCCCAACCCCCCTGGCTCCTCTCCAGGCATAGTGAGGCCCTCTACCAAGGACCTACAAAGTCTGTCATATTGTTTGGGGGAGGGTCTAGCCCCTCTTTGCTGTATCTGGTCTGCAATAGTATCCCTCCATAGCGAATGGGCTCCCAAAGTCCATTTGTGCTCTAGGGATAAAGACGGGCTCCGCTATCAGAGGAGCCATAGACTGTCTTGGGCTCCTAGCTGGTACCCACATTCAGAGGGTTTGGTTTGGTCCAATGCTGTTTCCCCAGCTTTATGAATAGGGTCTCCATGCTATCAGTAGGTCAGGTCCACTGTTTCTGCAGGTCTCTCCATCCCCGTCTTGGCTCCTTTGCTCAGCCCTCCTCCCGCTCTACAACTGAATTCCAGTAGTATGGTTCGTTCAGTGCTTAGCTATGGGTGTCTGTTTCTGCTTCGAACAGCAACTGGAAGAAGACTTTCTTTCTCTCCCTGCCCCCGGGCTCCAATTTGGTCAGGGGTTCTTGTCCCCATCCCCTTCTTCGAGGGACTATGCAATCTTCTCTTGGGGTCCTCCTTGTTTCCTAGCTCCTCTGGCAGTGTGGAATGTAGGTTAGTGATGCTTTGCTCTATGTCTAAAAATAAAAAATGAGTGAGTACTAAAATTCAGTTTTTACATTTGTCACATATACATGCATGTAGATTTAAAAGGAAAAAAAACCCAAATCATTGAGGCTGGAGAGAGGGCTCAGAGGTTAAGAGCACTTGCTGCCCCTGCAGAGGACTTGGGTTCGAATCCTAACACCCGAATAGCAACTCATAACCATTTATAGTCCCAGTTCTGTGGGATCCAATGACCATTTTTTACCTACTCAGCCACCAGGCATACAAGTGTTACGCAGATATACATGTAGGGGGTCTGGGAGATGGATCAGTGGTTAAGAGCACTGGCTACTGTTCTAGAGGACCCTGGTTCAATTTCCAGCACCCATGTGGAAGCTCACAACTATCTGTAACTCCAGTTCCAGGGGATCTGACAGCCTCATACAGACATATATACAGGTAAAACACCAATGCACGTGAAATAAAAATAAATTTAAAAACAAGATATACATGCAGGTAAAACATCCATAGAATTAAAATACATAAAATTAAAATAAAAAAGAAAGCCAAATAATTGACAAGTAAAGTATTTTAAATTTTTACTTAAAAAAATTTCAACAAGACAAAACAAGCAATCCCAGGCTACACCCATCACCTGACTCCAGTTCCTGGTCCACAGAATATATCACCATCTGACTGTTATTTCAGCTTTTCTGGCCTCCACCTCTAAGCAGCATGCTGTCACGGATGTTTTTAGTATTCTCATCCCTGGCCTTGTCTTCCTGGGAGAATAAAGACAGTTTTATTTCTCTGCTACCTCCCACAACCCGGCACACTAAGGCTTCCTGTCTGTTGCCATCTTCCCCGAGAGCTTTTTGCCTTTATTAGCATAGTGAATCAGGTTTGAATTAATATAACTAAGCCATGAATCATACAATCCTAGCTTTTTCTTTCTTGTATAAGTTTCTATTGAGGAATTTTTATTTTTGTTCTCTCTATATGTATGTAATATTTTCATAGTCTTCTAATTATTTCATGTGTATGGATGCTTTTGCCTGCACATATGTCTGTACTCCACATGTATGCTTGGTGCCCAAGGAGGCTAGCAGGGGTTGTCAGATCCCTTGGAACTGGAGTTACAGGTGGTTGTGAGTTGTGATGTGGGTGCTGGGAACCAAACCCAGGTCCTCTGGAAGAGCAACCTGTGCTAACTGCAGAGCCATCTTTCCAGTCCCGTCATTTTCTATATTCTTGATCAAATTATCCTGTCACTTAAATCCCCTCTCAGTATGCCCAGACATCTTGGGTCTATTCTATTAAGTTAATCTTCTCACAGTGTTTTCCCTCGAGCCTTTTTGGGGGCTCCTTTTTGGGTTGTAATCCTGAGATTGACTTTGTCCAATGTTGGGGCTTCTCCTTCCTTCTATCTGATTTAGCCAGTGTTTTGACATTCCAGACCGGCCCTTGTTTTTCCCAGCCCTCTTCCCAGTGTTTTGTTGGAACACATTCTACAATAACTTCCTGAAGATTGGTGAGGAGGCCCATATTTAAAATAGATTCATTTATTTTTATTTCATGTGTGCTTTACCTGCATGTATATCTGTGCACTGTGTGAATGTTGTACCCACTGTGGTCAAAAGAGGGCAGAAGATCCCCTGGACTAGAGTTATAAACAGTGGTGAGTCTCATGTGGACACAGAACCCAGGCTTTCTCCAAGATCAAGAGCTCTTAACCACTGAACCATCTCTCTGGCTACCCAGGAGGTACACTTTTAAAGTCTTGCCTACCCAAAATGCTTTTCACAGTCTGGCCTGCTGTGGCTCATGTATGAAATGAGGGTCTAGTAACTGCCCTGCAGGACTTTACAAAGCAAACAAAGAAAAACCATCTATGACCTACAAAGTTGATATTTCACTCTTTATAGAAAAAAGAAAACATTACTGCCTTTGGCTACATCTCACCTATAGCCTGGCTCCCTTAAAGAATGTTTTCCTAAGACATTTGGAATCAAATCCATTCTGACCCTACCTTAGTAATAAAACTCAGGCTAATTGGAATCCTTTCTAATTGTGGTGTAGGGTATTTGGGATGAACATTCAATCTGTAGAATTTCTTACTACTCTATTGTCCTTGATGATCAGAGAGCATGTTCATAGTGACCTCAGTCCTCAGGAACTTGCTGAAGCATGCTTGGTGAGCAGTGTGTGAAGAATTTTTGGAGATGCTTTTCTGCAGTGTTTAAAACAGGCTCTTCTAAATTCATTGGGTACAATGTCTGCATACACTACCACACCAAGTTTGTTGACTGCATTGTTCAGACCTTCTGTATTCCTTCTGCCTTTTCTTGTTCTGCTTGTTAAGCCATTTACTGAAAGAAATGTGTTATAATTCTCTGTGTATATAGATGTAATTTGTTTCCTTATAGTTATGTCAATTTTGTGCTGCATATCGTGAATTTATGTAACTGGATCACATAGATTTATTTTTGCTTTTCTAGTGGGCTCTCATAATTTTACAGTGTTCTTTTTTATCTCTGTTAGCAGGCACTGCTACCTTAGTCTCCATTTAATTTAATTTGTCCTCTGCCCTTTAATGTATCACTTTTTCCCTGAAGCTCACTATGTAGACAAAGCTGGTATCAAACTTACAGAAATTCTCCTGCTTCTGCCTCTACAGTGCTGGGATTAAAGTTGTGAACCACAACTTTGTTTATTTATGTTATTTTTTAAAAGTGGTTTAAGTCTCCAGATCACAACACAGTAATTCATTGTTAATAAACCCCACTAGGACACTTTAGGGAACAGATTAAAAACAAAGAAACCTTATCATTTGTCTTAGTTGTTTTTCCATTATTGTGATAAGACACCATGAACAAGGCTGATTATAACAAGAAGAGTTTTGGGGGGATTACAATTGCAGAGGGTTAAGATTCATTGCCACTATGGTAGGAAGCATTGCAGCAGGCAAGGCAGGCAGACATGGTATTAGAAGAGTAGCTGAGAGCTCAC